TTGTGCCAAACCCGATCGAAGGCCTTCGCAATGTCCAAACTAACGGCCAATGCCTTCCCTTTGGACTCTACTGCCTCCGCCCATCTGTGAGTTAGGTAGACCAGAAGATCACCAGCTGACCGACCACGGCGAAAACCGTATTAGAGGTCACTAATCAGCTGGTGATCCTCAAGGTACTTCATGAGCTGGCAGTTTACAATGGACTCCATTGTTTTGGAGAACAAGGAGGTAATGGCGATAGGCCGGTAGTTGGACGGGTCGCCTTTTTTAGGAATCGGGTGGACGAAAACCGTCTTCCATGATTTTGGGACTACGCCTAGGGAGTAGGAGTACCGGAAAAGACGCGTTAAAACCGGTGCCAACTCTGGAGCACACGTCCTCAGCACAATTGGGAAGATTCCGTCAGGCCGACTCGACTTGTGGATGTCCAGGGAGAGGAGTGCTTTGTGAATCGAGCGCTGTGTGATCTGCACTGCCGGCATGGAGCACTCACACCGCGGGATGGTTGGCGGCGTACTCCCCCCGTCATCGAGAGTCGAGTCGGACGCAAAGAAAGAGCCTAGAAGATCGGATTTCTCCTTTGCGGTATGGGCCAGTGAGTCGTCCTCCCTGTGCAGAGATGGAAAAGATGGCTGACAGAAATTCCTCTGGACAGCCTTGGCGAGAGACCAGAACACACGGGTTCCAGAAGGAAGGCGAACTAGTTTCTCGCCAATTCTGCATATGTGCTCTTACTTTGCCTTGGCAATGACTCTTTTGAAAGACCTAGAGGCGGAATTATACTTCTTTTTTAGAGCGCTGGTGTTTACATCCCGGGACGCTGAAGCAGCAACAACGTTGGGATCGTCCGGCAAGAAGAAAACTCGCCCCCAAGGGTAGGATGCAAAGAAAGACCGCATCCCATCCCAATCGGCTGACCAATAGTGCCAAACACGGTGGCAGCCTGCAGATTGCAACTACGATTTCAGCGTGAGTGGCACCACACTCCGAACAAGACAATGTTCCGAGGAGCCTAAAGGGGCGTCAACGGAAATCTGATATCCCTCCGGGTGAGAAGTCAGCAGAAGGTCCAACAGAGAAGGTGCATGATCCTCCACATCTGGAATCCGCGTAGGCGAAGTAACCAGTTGTGTCAGAACATATGCCAAGGCAAAATCATGAACAGATCTCCCCCGCATGATCGGTTAAACGTGAACTAAGCCATTCGGCATGATGGGCGTTAAAGTCGCCGAGGATCAAAATCTCTGCGTAGGGGATCTTCTGTAGCAACGAATCTGTAGCCATTTGGACATGGTCGAAGAGTCGGTGTGTTTCGGCATTACCGCTATGGGACCTATAGAGGCACCCGTAGACGCGCGGATGGTCGTCGCTGTCTACGCGTAGCCAAAGGATGGACAGGTCTGATCCTTCAAACCTGTCGAGGCGTCGAGAACAGATGTCCTCTCTGACGTAAACGCCACCTCCAGCCCGAGGCACAAAGGAGTGTTCCAGTTTGTACCCCGGGTAGGAGAGATACGAGACATCAGCCGGAGAGGACACTTGCGTCTCGGTCAGAAAGAGCAGAGCTGGCCTCGCCGTCTCGAGATGGTAGTGGACGGCGTTTAGGTTAGAGTGAAGTCCCCTGATATTGCAGAAATTCACGGACAGCGTCGCAGTGGTCGCCTTGGTTTTGTTGCTCCGTTTACGCCGAGCAGTTATAGTCTTGAGCGGAATTTTGCCCCCCCCCCCCCCCCAGAATACGCGGCGCAGCCTGAGCACCTACGCTCAGAAGTGGAGAAACATGACTTAATTCATCATTTAATTCCGCTACCATGTTCATGGGGGGGGGGGATTTGGGCCTCCGGCCACCTGCACTCGCCAGACGAAACGCGAAAGCAGAGCTTCCACTTCAAGCCGGTATTCTGTGAGGTCGTGGTACCACCCCAGTTTGAGCCGGCCCATACGTGCAACAGCAAAGCTGCCGCGTGGCTCTACCACTGTTAAATGACGACATAGTAATTCACTTTCCCTGTGGGCACACTACGAGAAGTGTTGATTTAAAACGATAAAAAGCCGTCACAATAATTAACAACAATGACGTGATAATTAATGATAATTAACAACGATAATTAAAAAAATATATAATTATAGCTAAAAACACTTAAATAATTACTAACATAAATCACAACGTAACTCTATGTACAAACTATACGGAACGCGGGACTGTTTCTAGACGACTTCACTCTCCGACAGCCCACGATAATATGTGTGCACTGTGCAGCTCCGGTCAACCGCTACGTTGTAGACTCTGTCCAGTGCCACCGGATGGCGTTCGCGTTCTGATTGTTTAAAATAGTCATTCCGGAATACCGACTCGATTGCGACACGGCCATCCTGCTTCCACACGTCCTCGTGTGTTATCCTGCAAACAAACATTTAACCGAAAGTGTTTATTCATCTCGGCCAATTCTGACCACATTAGCACGTGTACACTCTTTTCTAACTCAAAATTTAAAAAAAAATTTTAATCTTCGTTTATTATTTCAAAAGTCCTTATTACTTGCAGAAAAATCGGTATTTAACTTCTAAGTTGAATCATTAAAATCTAGGTTCACATTTTTACGTTTTTTTAAACAGCTTTAACAAACATTTTAAAATCAAAGGAAGCAATTAAAAGCTAATGACAATAATAAACCAGAGCCATGTACCATCATCATTTGCGTCAATGCATCACTAATTTCACGATAAATATCGTAATTAACACAAGCAAAACATACAAACCTCGGGACCATCACGAGTAAACTCCTCTAACGCCACGGCCCACTTGGCCGAACAGCAATCACAGTTGCATTCTCATACGTGCATCCATCCACGGATCACCGTGTGCATCACCCGCTGACTACACACTACGTTTTTTTTAAAAAAAACCACGACCTCCGCCAGAGCTAAATGCGCATCGCGCACCCACCGACTAAGGTGAGTGAGAGAGTGAGTTAACTCAAGAGACACCGATTTCTACCGGGCTACGACTACATAATAGCTACTGGTACGGTCGACATCAGTACGGCCGATAGAGTATTTACTCAAATTCCCAGATCACTTAGGCTTCCTGATTATTATTAAAATTATTGCGTACTTCCACAATATCTAGTACATGACCTACTGGCATCTTTCTTAACCTATCGTGAGCGTATTTGTACGTACGTTTAGAACTTAAGGCTTTTAACGTGTACCAATCACCATCCAAAATCCCTACCACCCTAAACGGACGTTTAAACTTCGGATCTAACTTAGTCTGATTCTGCTCTTCATTTTCTAATAACACAAAATCATTAATAGATAATTTAGAAACCTGAGCCTTATTTCGGTCAAATCGACTTTTATCATAGTTTCTTCAAATACAATATTTAATCTTTAAATTCTAAATTTCAATATTCTTTGTCATGCTTATATAAATTTACGTCATACTAACGTAGAATCCCTGATCTAAAATCTCACGGCCAATTAAAATATCATTTTTAGGACAACTATACGGTACAATATGAAATAATATCTCTAAACGTAATTCGTTAATCTTAAATTCAGATAAAACTTGTAGGGTACTTTGCACACTAACAAGACTGATTTCGGTCAAACTTATAATATTATTTACACGCTCGTCACTAAACTTTGATGCAACACAATCTTTCATGAGAGAGTATTCGGCACCCGAATATTAATAAAACGGGTATGACGCGTCAGCACACTGCTGGGATTGCTGACATAGCAAACGTCAACACGTCGCTATGCACAGATTTTTCTATATACTGAAGACACACGAAACCCATCTAAATGCGCTCCAGTGAGCGGTTCCGCTGCATTCGTGCCAGCGAGTCGCTGCGCCACACCACCACCAGCTAGCCGCTGCGTTCGCGCCAGCGAGCTGTCTCCGCTTCAAAACTGTAGACATAGGCACCAAGTTTGCATAACTCGCCGTAGCTGTTGATATATGCACAAAGCTAGCGTCAATTAGTACCCGAAACCTTATTCATATTGCATTTTACTTCGAGTTGTTTTAATGTAAAATTTTAAGTACAAAACAGTCAAAGCAAGAGGACATGGAAACAACTACGTTACATGCACAAGCGTACACTCAGGTACATCCAACACATGTCTCGCAAAGCAGGTAGCTAAAGTAATTTAAGATTAGAATAGATGTTAAAAATTCCAGGTGCATGAAACAATTAAATGATCTGATTTGAAAAATAAAAATTAGAAGTAATGAAGATAAATGTACCGCAAACTATAGAATTCCGGACTTCTAAAGTTCACGACACATTGATATAAGAAAATGCAAATGTGTGACATTGCACTTACAAACCATTACACAAATTGTAAAAAAGAAGCTGTATGCTGAGGCATAGGCTAGGCTGTGCGCCAGCAGCAGACGGTAATGCGCCCAGTGCGGCCAATGCGCGATGCTGCTCACACGTAGAACGCCAGCGCCACGTAACACAGTGACGCAAAGCACACGCCATAGGTAGCTGCTACTAGACAAGCACACGTTGCTATTAAAATAAATTAGAGTTCATGAAGAAACGCTGCACACGTATCTGGCGTCCATTCTCCCCGCCACAGAACCATGTGTTTAGCGGCCGCTTGAGTTGTCTTGCCGTAATATCCGCCGAGAAACAGCAGGCTGCAGTGGTGTAGCCTCAATCTTATCATGACTCAGCTGCACCTGACTATATTGAATTAGCCGTCGACCATTTGATGTAAACTGTAACATTTATCAACAACATTAGAATACACATCGGCTACTTATTTTCTTTCAATTCGTAGCACGTTAAAGGTAATCATTTATTTTGTTAGATCACTTACACATTTCAAACTTTAAATTGTAGCACATGTAAATCATATTTCACATGAACTATCAAGTTATTTTTTATCATTTAAGAATCATAAAAAATCTAAACAGCTCACCTTGATGATTTAAAACGGCTGAAGGCGATTGAACGACACAAACATCCACGCGACGCTCGCTACGCGCAGCTCTCCACTAGGCTGCCTCCGTTTGTACACCGGATCACGATGTGTCCGGGTTTTCCGCATTTTAAGCAGACCAAAGGCTTCACTGGGGGTTGCTGGACCGTTTGGTTCAATGATAAAGATGTTGTAGGCCGCCTTCTGCTATCCATGGGTTTGCTTTTACATTCTGATCGCCTATGACCGTCAGGTGCATTTGAAAATTCACCCTGAGTGTTAATCTTACGTTTCAAGTGTGGAAACACATGAAGTTCTTGCTGCAACCTATCCCTCGATGTAATATCGGTTGTAAACGCCAGGCGCTGTAGTCTCGAATCAAACTGAGATATGTGGGCAAGAACGGTTGCTACTACAATTTGTTCTTTATTTGCGTCCTTCCAACGGTTAGTGAGTGACGTCATCAAACGGCTCGCGTAAGCAACTAGCGTTTCTTTTTCACTCGGTTTATCACTACTGAGGCTAATGAGGGTAGCCGCTAATGTTTCAGTAGAAATAAATCTCGTCGTAAACAGTATCTTAAACTCACTCCATGACATTCCTTGGTATGCTGTCTGTGATAGCCAAGTCGATGCTGTGCCTTTCAACGCCTTACTAACCGCCAAAACAAGTTGAACGCCGTGCAGTAGATTTTCGGCAAAACACAAATCTGTTGTCGCGCACCTCGGTCTCGGGTCCGTATCCGCCTTGTCAGGGTTGAACTCGGGCAAATCTACGTGATTGTTAGCTTTCGGAGCTTGCAGGGCTTCGATGAGAGCACGCATATTTACATTTTTTTGTTCAAACATGGCTCGACAACGCTGTTTCCCTGTCCACGTTCTCATTTTGCGTTTGAACCAACACTGATCCCACTTCTGATATCGGATTGGGTAAATTACCCTATCTATCGTCCAACATAGTAATTCATTTTACCTGTGGTACATTACATTGTACCTTACGTACTATGAGAGGTGTTGGTTTAAAACGATAAAAAACCTCACGATAATTAACAACAATGTAATTCTAGGTAAAATCACTTAAATAATTGCTAACATAAATCAATCACAATGTAACTCTATGTACAAACTATACGAAACGCGCGACTGTTTCAAGACGACTTCACTCTCAGACAGCCCGCGATAATGTGTGTGGCGAAGAAATTTTGCAAGGAAGTATTTTTTTATGGAATAGGATGACAAACAAGCACACAGTCCACCTGATGGTAAGTGGTTGCTGTGGCCCATAGACATCTACATCTATCCTCCATTACAAATCAAAATGCAGATGCGTTGTCACCCGTGAGGACTAAGATGGAATGCCTCGTTTGCAGTAAAAAACCATACGAAATACGGCAGCATTAAGCTACTATTTCACGCTGGTATTCTGTGAGAGCGTGGTCCTTCCCCGGTCGAGCCGACCCATTCGTACTACAACTATACTACTAATATAACTGCAGCATGGCTCTATAATAAAAACATAAATTGTACGTGTTCAATTGATTGTGAATCGTTTTTTATATCAACCATAAATGGTCGAGAAGGTTTTCCAGATGGCTGTTTCGAAACACTAACTTTTGAAAAGAGTATCGGAAGCTTTAAAGGATATGGTGGCAGATATAAATGTTTTGTCTTTTGAAAGATTTTTGCAATTGGGTTTTGATTCCAGTATAATAAATAATGTCGTATTAAATTAGAATCGTATAGTGGAAATGAATGGAAATGTTTTTCTAAAAATGTTTGTTATGATTTAATAATTTCGATAGCCGATTTACCGGTATGTCCATATGGAAAAGGAATAATTAGCAATTGTGTTCGCCTGTGAACGATTTCACCTATACAATTTTGAAAAAAATAATGTTGTAGAAATTGATCATAAACCTTTGGAAAGTATCTTTAAAATTCCATTAATGTCCGTCCTAGCCCGTTTATAACGTATGATGCTCAGAATACAAGGCTATGACTTAGTTTTTAAGTATAAGCCAGTAAAATATATGTATATTTCAGATGCAATGTCTCGCGCGTCACTTCTCGACTTACTATTAGATATAAATTAGATAAAAAAATCTATATTAAGTAAAATTAATTGTAAACAATATTCCAATTTCAAATAACAACTTAACACTGATAAATAATGAAGTGGAAAAAAGATTTTGATTTGTGTCCTTTACTAAATTGCACTAAATTAGGATGACCTGATGATAAGCCTAACGTAATTGAAAATCTTAAAAAAAATTCGTCTTTAAAAATAAGTGTTATGATACTAAGTTACCCCGACAAAAGTTGACAGGATTAGGACCCATCAGTAATCCAACTCGACGAGCAACCGAGGGAAGGGCCCAATGGCCTATGGATAATTAATTTATAGCGGCTGTATAAGCAAACACAAAATTACCGAAATCCAGAGGTAGGGTCGACCACAAGGCGCCGTCAGGGGCAAGTAAATGATATGTGTGAGTGGTGTAGGAAAAAGTGTAATGTAACCTGACGTCACCGATGTAATCGTTCAGCAGAACCACATTCGTTGCCACGCTCCACAAGGCGCAATCGCTTTAGAGGGCGCCTGCCGTTATCGGAACTCAAAGTGTAACGTCACTTAGCACAAACTATAATCGAGCGCGATCTCCACTCAGAGCACAAAGTTTAGCGTTCAATCGATAAAGCAAGATTCCTTAGCACGATATTAAAACGCAACACAAGCCACGCGTCGATGCAAATTAATAGCAATCGAAGTTAAAATAGTCTCTCAAAGCTCAAAAATAAGCCTCGTTGTCACGTATATAAATGAAATAAAACAACACAATGGAGGCCGTCGTAATACGACGCAGCAATTCTTACGTAACTCGCGACTCTAATTAACACGGCCGTCACGTCCAAAGATTCTGCTAGACTGGCAGGCACCACCGTAGGCGCAAGCGAATGCCCCCCTCCCACGCAAAGCTAAACCGGTTCCCCGCTCGGAACTAGCGTCTTGAAAATTGTAGCTTGCTACAATCGAGCGTAAACAATAAGTTATATGTGGGAGATGACGTCACATTTATAGATAATGTTGTTTTAGTCCATCGTTACCTGAGAACAGATATGATGAAAATTGTGCAAGAAGGGCACTTAGGTATAATAATCAGTGCAAGCGATGCGCAAAACAAGTTATATTTTGGATAGGGATGTCACGTGACATAGAAATGTATGTGAAACGTTGTTCGGTGTGCACTGTGCAAGGAGAGCTCAAACGCACCATCTAAAGAACCCATGATTCCAGTAAAAATTCCTGATTTGCCCTGGCTTAAGGTGGGGTCTGATATATTAGATTACCTGAAAGGAAATATTATATTACTTTAGTTGATTATTACTCTAGTGGTGTTGAGGTAAAAAAATTAGAAAATATTATATCACAGGTGGTTATACGCGGTTCAAAGGAAATATTTTCTCGACACTGTATAACTGAAATACTTATCAGTGATAATGGTACGCAATATAGTAGTCGCGCGTTCAAACAGTTTAGTAGAGATTGGGGCTTCATTCACTTTACATCCTCACCAAACTATCCACAGGCTAATGGAAAAAGTGAACGCGCGGTGCAAATAGTTAAGTCTTTCCCGTGCAATTATTGATTGGTCGCAGATTACGTTGCAAATTACCAGTTTGTGCAGATTTACTAATACCACAAGTTGTATACCCAACTACGTTTAAAAAAATTCGGAAAATACAGCAACAGTCAAAAGTGTACTACGATAAACATTGCAAAACGTCGCCTATATAGAGTACATTGGTGACGAAGTAATATGTGTAGATGCTATAAAAAGAACCCCCGCTACTGTAATAAGTCAAAGTGATACACCTCGTTCATATGTAATACATAATAATTTTTATTTAGGTCTTACTCAAGTCAAGATTTTAAAAATATTAAAAAAGATATTTTCATCACTGTAAATAGAAGGGGTAGCAATTCTGTGACTCACGAAAGTACATCGATTCCTACCAAGAATGATACGTGAGGCTATTGAAATTTAAAAAAACGTCCTAATTTCAATAGGAGGCTAGGTAAGGCACAGGCTAGGTAGGTTAGACATCACCTACTTGGGATCTTGTAATTAATAAAATTAAAACTAAACCCAAACATACCACTGCAGGACTTCAAGACACAGTAAGTTCATTCTGCGTAAATTGCACCATAAATATTTATTGAAAAGCTGAAGGTACTCCGGCTTAACACCGACATCGGGACGTCATTCATCTTAGTCCCCCTTGACCATGAGTGCTAGAAAGTACCCAAAACGGGGGGAATTAAAAATCAAATAAATTAAAAAAAACGCGATAAAATTCTTGGAAGCAGTTTCAACCAATGTGTAGTTTTTGCGTTAGTATAAGAAATCATTATAAAATTCTTCATTAAAGTGAATAACCATCAAAGAAATATTTTTATAATTCTACATTTTCGAATTTCTAAGAAAAGAATTTTGATTTTGAAATCATTTTAAGTATCTTTCAGTCGATTTGTCTAGATACAGTGCTTGAGTTCGGGTAAAATATATTCAGAAAAGTATTATGTAACGCGGATGTACCCCAAGGTGGGGTCCTGTATAGGTGCTCTGCTTTTTGCCGTTGCTATTAAATGTATCACCAAGGCCATATCCTCTAACTGAGTAACGTCTTCTAACCACCTTTACGCTAACAATTTGCAGTTTTATCGTCATTTTGTGGCGTCCGTAACTAGGTGTTGGTCGAAATTATTTGGTCTCACAATCAACCCAGCTAAATCTCAAGTTTTGATAATAGGCAAAAGATCTTGATTTCTACTCTCTGCAAATTCTTTGAATAAATGGCACCCCTATTCCCTACTCAGATAGTGCCAAGAACTTAGGCGTTATTACTTAGGCGTAATACTATAACTTAGGCGTTATAGTAACATATACCTAAATTGCTATGCTGCTGTGTTTTTCAAAATCTACTAATTAGCATTTTTTTATCGACCGTCGATAACAATACTTTTTTTCTTTTTTTGACTACTAATTTGTGATATAATTTTAAGTTTATAAAACTTCCCATGTTTTTAAATATTACTACTAAATATAAGCACAAAAAAGCAGTACTAAACAAATACAAAACTACATAAATATAATATAAATCTACTAAATATTAGCACAGAATATTAGGTAGATTAAAATAAGTGGATCAAAATAAATTAGTCGGCATATAGTGGACGTTATCTTTGATCACTCGAAGAGTGGGGTTTTTAGGGTTTTTCTATATCTAAGTCCTTCGTCGGCTAACGGTTTTGAGTCTTAGGGGCGCGCGAAACACCGCGTATTTTGTAATAATGTTGTTTTGTTTATTACATTCTTTTAGTAAACAGTAATAAGATTTTTTTGCATATCTTTTATCGAATAAAATTTCATGTGAAAAATACATACTATATTTTCCCACAAATAGTTGCAAATTTGGAATTAATCACGACATTTTATGCTTGAAATAACCTTTTTTTAAATATTTTACCCAGACATATCCAGTGATAAAGTAGAAATTTAACATAAGTATTGTTGCGCGCTAAGTTGACGTCTGGTAACCGGCTCTAGCGCCATCTAGTGTCGGGGAACAGAGCGAGGAGGGCTTTCTAGAAAATGCCATTTCTGAACTTTTTACCAACAGCGCCATTTAGTATCGAACAGAGGAACTAAGCTTTCTACAAGGCCCCACACTCGAACTTTCTACGCCTGGTCCGTCGGCGCTCGTATTTGCTGGAATATTTTGGATGTTTCGGTGAAAAAGGTGTATTAAAAGGGGCAGTATTAAATTTGGCGACACAAGCGAAACTT